TTTTTTTTAATGCAGAGATATTAATAACTTAAGGTGTCACCTAACACCAAAGGTAACATAACAAAGTTTGGACTCTCTTTTGAAACAATAAATACATTGTTGAAGGAGGTAAAATTTCAACGAGACACGAAATCATAAAACAAACTCTATACAGGAGACACAAATATCAAGAGGCTAATAGCTAGACTTAGATTTAAACAAAATCAGAGGAAGACAAAAAATAACAAATAGGTAATAAACAAATAAAAGGAAAGGGTCAAAATCTTTTTCAATCTATTATATATTTATTCTTTTTTTTTACACACCACTCCGTCAAATAACTTCTTTTACACCCCAAAATTCATGAAATGCTATGCGATATTATACTCGCATTTCAAATGAACCAGTGCCATATCCAATCCGCCGGATAATTTATGACTATGCGTAAACATTTCGCATTTTTTTAATCGCATATCCACATCAAACGCATAATTTACAAATGTGTGAACATCTTTCGTATTTTTTATAATCGCATATACAAATCGAATGCAGCATAATTTACGATGATTATGCGCCTTCTTTTCGCAGGGCTATATCAACCTTGCAAATTTATGACTGCAAAAATATTTCGCATCTAATTTGCATAGTTTGTTGAATATGCATTTTCTGGTAATTGCATATCCAAGTCAATCGCATAATGTACTAACATGCGAAAAAATTTCGCATATATCCTCCGGGTAATTGACAATTATGCGACATTTTTTCGCTCGCATATTTAAGAATCGCATAACCAAATCGAATAAAGCATAATTTTTTGACGATTATGCGCTATTTTTTCGCAGAGCCATATCGATCTGGCAATTTTACGACTATTCGGAATTCGTACGCAGATCTTTCGCATAAGTTGCGCACCTCATTAATTGACTGCTTTTTCACAGGTGAGGATTTGGTCTCTGCATTTATCATGCAGGCAAAAAAACAGTGATCTCTAACAATTTAACGTCTGCACCATTCATCTACTGCATTTTTCTGTTTCTTTTTTTTTTTTTAGTTCTTTTTGTTGTTCACTTATTTGAATGGCTAGCAACCGTGTTAGAGTATTGGTGCACTTTGGTGGTTCGTTTTGCGAGGGTTCATATCTTGGTGGCAGAACTGATGAGAATAAATTACGGCCGACAAATATATTCTGAAGTAGTTTCTCGTGCTCAAGCATTATTGAAGGCCGATCCTTGTAATTTTGAGTACATATTGTGGGCAGTATTTGATGGAAGGGAACGAGTTGTGAAGATGAAAATCGAATCCAGTGAGGATATCTTAGAGCTGATTGAAGAACAAAGAAATCCCAATATTTACGTGGAGTTGGAGAAGTGAGTAAATGTAGAGATTTCGGGGACGACGCAACAAAGCTTCACGCAAATGATGGCGTCCCAAGGTGTATTCCTGAGTTCTTTTGGTGTTGGTAGTTCTGCATTTTCCCACGAGGCCCCATATTCACATCAAGCAGGCCCTAGTTCATTTACACATACTGGATATCCTCGGGGCGCTGATGATCAAACCTCGGGTTGTTCGAACCAACCAGGTCATTCTCGTGACGATGAAAATAATGATGACCAAACCAACACGCACAATGGTGACTCATGCGACGAAGACAAAGAGGTCAATGAGAAGCAAATGTTCGTAATCCAGGTACAATTGTCGAAATCGGATTTGGGTTGACCTGCACACATCACACATATCCCATATTAATCGCACAATTGAGTTGATTGCGCGATTCACATAACATGTCCCATAATAATCGCACAATTAGGTTGATTGCGCGATTTGCATAACATGTCCCATAATAATCGCACAATTGGGTTGATTGTGCGATTCCCATATCATATCCCATATAATCGCACAACTGGGATGATTCGCCTAGTTTTCAACCGCATAATTAACGAATCGTATATCCAAATCGAAAGCCGCATAATTTACGACTATCCGCCGTTTTGTTCGCATATCCATATGAACCGCATTGATTGATTGTCTGCACCGCATATCAAAATCGAAAGTGCTTCGCATATTATTCGCATACGTTACGCACCGCATTGATTGATTGTCTGCACCGCATATCCAAAATAAAAAATGCTTCGCATATTGTTCGCATAAGTTACGCACCGCGTTGATTGATTGTCTGGTTTTACACCTAAAAAACAATGACGATTTGCATGCTTCCTCATTTTTTTTTGGTACAAGCATGCTTCCTCATTTAGTTGTTGAGTTGATGTATAACTACCTAGCCTTAAATGCTATATGTATTTATTAACCTTTCATTCTCTTTGTTGAAGAGGCAACCTTTCACTTTTCAAAACCCTATCTTTCCATCGCAGCCAAAAAACAAAAAAAAAAAAAAACAAGAAGGCACACGTTTGCCAAAAAAAAAAAAAAAGGGAAAGGATTTCACCCTATGAAAAGATCGCGATCCGCTTCCGTGGCATGGACTGGACAGAGGAGGAGGAACGTATTTGCTACCAAGTGTTTTTCAAATGGTGTCGTCAGAAGGCGACATACACAAAGACCATGTGTTCAATTCCTTGTGGGCAGAAACTTCAATAGTCCTGAACCAAATGTTACGAGGTTTTTACCGAGCGCAACGCAGCGGTGATAGACTCGGAGGGCGGGCCATGTGCTTCGGTTGACGACCCAATCTGGGAGGCAGAAATAGACGATGATGGTGATGATCGGGTCCATCAGCCACCATCGAACTTGGAAGTCATCGATCTCGACCCTTAGAACGCACTGGACATGAAATCAAAAGTTGTTTGGCTTATTTTGTTTGACTGATTGCAGTAATAATAAATATTTTTTTCTTCTGTCAAGTACATGTTTGTTTAGTCATGATTCATATGTCAAAACAAAACAATATATTGCATGGACAATTAAACTATTAATGTCTGTGAACAGAGTTTTCCCAGCAAAATCAGCGACAATATTCGAAGGGAAACTATTATTGAAAGGAAATTCGCAGAACTGTGAACAAAGTGCGATAATCGCATTGTTTTAGCATAACGTAATGAAAAAAAATAAATAAAAGTAATTTATATTTTATAATCGCATATCCAGGCCAGATCAACCGCATCATCATTTAGGATATGTGAAAAAACTGTCGCGTAATTAGATTATCGCATATCCAAACTGCATCATTTATGAGTATGCGACTATGCGGCATATGTTCGCATAATTTACGATTCACATATCAAAATCTATAAGACTTAGATAACTATCAATTATGCGTAATGTTTTCGCATAGTTACGAATCGCATATCTATATAAAACTCGCATAAATGTATCAATATGCGAACACATTTCGAATAGTGTTACGCACCGCTTTTTTTCACCTAATAGTTTTTTTTTTTTTTTATTAATTTAGTCAAAGAACAAGAATTTTCCATAAATTATTATTTACCAACTCTCCAAAAATGATGGAGAGCACTTCACCTCATGTCATCTTCACAAAGATCGATTGTAAGGTTAGCAACCACTCTTTTATTGTTAGCTTCATCTATGGGCTTCATTCGAGAGGTGACCGGAAACTACTTTTGCATGAGCTTAAGGCCTCCCAGGAGAGGATCTCTTTACCTTGGTTGCTCCTCAAGGAGTTTAATGATATCTCAAGTCGGAGGAGAGAATAAAGGGTGAGAGAGTTACAACCCGGGACACTATGGATCTCTTTGAAGTTTGTGATACCTTGGGATTGTCGGACATCCCCTCTAGCGGTTTATTTCATACTTTGACCAATAACCATGTTTGGTTCATGCTTGATAGAGCCACGGTGGATCCTCTTTGGGAGAATGCCGATTTTTCTCACATGCCACATTTCTTACCCCGGGTATATCCGATCATTCTCCTTGTATTGTGACGTCTTTGAGTCCCGAGCGAATTGTAGGTCTCCTTGGCGATTCTTCGACATGTGGACTACTCATGAGAATTTTTTGTTGTGTGTTCTTTACAATTGGAGCCAAGGGGGTGGGGGATCGAGACAAATCCGCCTCACCACCAAACTAAAGAATCTTAAGAGCTCACTAAAGGTTCTCAATGACAAAAGCCTTCTCCCACATTTCTGGACGAGCCAAAGAAGCTAAAAATGCACTCAAGGAAGCGCAACAATCACTCCATGACCATCTCGATGATCCCGATACCAAGTCTAGGATGCCCTCACTTAGACTCCAAGCACTCAATTTGACCAAAGCAGAGAAGCTCTTCTACCAGCAAAAGGCCAAATGTAACTTTCTAATCAATGGAGATAATGGACCAAGTTCTACAACATCCAGGTTAAAAAGAGATCAAAGTCGAACTCCATTGCATCGATTAATCGGGAGAATGGTACCATGATCGAATCCATGGAGGACGTTGCCAAGGAATTCATAAACTACTACGAGGATCTCTTGGGAACCGGACAGACGGAGGTTGTTGAACTACAAATCCCTAGAGCGGGACTGTGTGTTAGCACCGAGCATTGTAACTCTCTCATTGCCCCGGTGTTCAAGGCCCGAAATCCACCTCTGGCGACATAGAAG